CCCCCCCCCCCCCCCCTTTCCATTGAATTTCAGTTACTCCTATTTTTGTCTCTGAAGTTCCATCTAAATAGTTTTTGGTTTCTTCTCCTGGTTCGCAGAAACTCTATCAATGAAGGGATTAACGTTGAACTGCATGGACAGGAAGTCCGAAGCATATGAACTAGTTAGGCTTGGTTTGAAGGTTAAGTTATTATCGTTGTTATCATTGTCACTGTTAGTATCATTACTATTATGCGAATTAACTCCTGTGTTGTTCTTTACTTTTATCTTATTTCCTCGTTGCTAAGTTGGATCGCTGCATCAGCTGGAATTACACTTCTGTTTTGCAGAATGATCTTAAGAGTCATGTTTGCTGGCATGTCTATGGTCTTCTGTACCGATCTGATAGAGAATATAGGGAAGCAATTAAGTGCTACCGGAATGCACTTAGAATCGATCCTGACAACATTGAAATACTGCGTGACCTGTCTCTTCTACAGGTGCACTGTTATCCATTCTTATCCTTATTTTCCCTTTCGGTTATCTGCTAACAGGCTCGAATATCTGAAGATTCACATGCTATTGTGAACTTTATGCCAAAGGCCCAAAAGCAATAAAAGAACATTTTGACAGGAGCTTTATTTTTTGCAATGCCACTGGTGATATGAGCAACAATATTTTTGCCATAAATGGTTGATATCCGTAGTTTTTTTTTTTTTTAATTTTTTTTGACATTGTTTCTTTTCTTTTTTTTTTTTTTTTTTAAATTTTTTTTGACATTGTTTCTTTCCTCTCGTGACCTTATGTGTTGGCATGTGTGCATGCTGGTTTAAGCATTTTTATCTATATTTTGTACTCTTTTTGTAATAGTTGGACACCAAGCAAAAACTAAAGAAAATAATCAAATTAAACTGAACAGCAAACCTTCTTCCTGAGTTTCAGTTATCAGCTTTCATAGCGTGAATAAAGTGTTCATTCAGGTTCATAAAGGCCAAATGAGAGCTAAATAGATACAATACCATATTGAAATTGATTCTCTAAGTGAATATATTTCACTATAATGTTCTCCCTGTAATGCCAGAATGAACCTCATACTTAGCCTCTGTTTGACAGATTTTTTTTGGAAAGAATGAGTTTTTGAATAGTAAATTTTGGGAGAATGTTTGGTTAAAAAGTAAGGGAAAGTTTTGGGTTTACATGATGAATATTTTATTGTGTGAAATGTGTGGTTGAAAATGAGTATGAGAAATAAAGAATGAGAAAGAATGGTTGTCAAGCACGGGCTTAGTCTATGGCAAGCTAGCTTTTCATATGTGCTTGTTTTGCACTGCAATTATTCCCCTTCTTCACTTTTCTATGTCCACTTTGATAGTAAACAATTTCTATTGCACTTTGTAGCTAATTTGTGCTATGTTCTAATGATTCTTTTCCAGGCACAAATGCGTGACTTGGCTGGTTTTGTTGAGACAAGACAACAGTTGCTCACTCTGAAACCAAATCATCGCATGAATTGGATTGGTTTTGCTGTTTCCCATCATTTGAACTCCAAGTATTTAAATGTTGTTTGTTGTACTTTATTGATATCCATGTATGACTTTCTGGTTTCCTGACAACTTTTCAAAATGCTCACTGCTTGATGCACTGTATCATTATCTTTGTGGAAATAGTTTATTATCTGTATATAATGGTATTTTGTGTCTTCATTCAAATTAGAAAATATGTCCCATATCCATTACTTTGGCAAAATGTATGTTTTTAGCATTTATGGTAAATATTATGTTTATTTCATTGGTTGACTAGTTTGATTGTAAATGAGGAGATTGTTTAGAAAACTAAGAGCTACGATGATTACTTTTCCTCTGTTGCTTGCAAAAGTGGATAATGCAGTTGATTTATGGTTTTATTTTGCATATTTTATTTAGGATTTTCACTCCATAATATATTAATAATTTTATCTTAAAAGGATACTTACTTTGATTTATAACTTCAAAACTTCATTGGAAATGGTTAAGTTTTTCGTCTCTGTCATTGGTTTAAAACTGTGTAAATGCAAAAGAGAAAATTGTTGTTCTGAAAATTCTCTGTTTATTTATTTGTTTGTCTTTGTTAATGGGTATTATTTGAGCTTCCCTAATATCTACCTTTGTTGTTTGCTAGTGGAGTGAAGGCGATTGATATTCTTGAAGCATATGAAGGGACTCTGGAGGATGACTATCCTCCTTTCAATGAACGTTGTGAGCATGGGGAAATGCTCTTGTACAAGGTATGGTTACCATTGGCTTTACCTGTGTTATGCAGCAAATTTTTGTACCACTATAAATTGCTTGGACCGTTCCTTCTGCTCTTGCCCACCTTCTAAGTGGTTGATGTGAAGTTTTTGTTAATGAGATGACTTTATTGTAGATTTGCTCAAGTAAATATCATATAAAACATGTAAATCCCACAATTTCTGTTCTTGCAGATAATTATAGCATGTTGATGCAAGAAAAGTTTCCCCACCTTTGAAATGATATTTGAAGATTAAATAGCTCATCCATATACTTGACCATATTTTGAAACAATTTCTTGGAAATACTTGCATCAACTTTTAATTTCTATTTATACGTGTGTTCCCATTGTGTTTTGGGTAGAGCAAGTTAAAAGAGGGAGGAGTGGAATTAGTTGTGAAAAATTGGTTTCGGGCAGATCCTGTGAAGAATAGGTGCATGTCTTAGGTCGCAAGAACTTTGGTTCTTCTTGGATATATCAAACTTAAAATCCTATTATACTAAACTTATTTGCAAGGGCTTGTGTGCATGTATTTTGCTGCAGTACTTTGCTGAACATATTCACATGAATTCTTTGGATTCCTAATTCTGTGGATAGATTTCAAATGCTTTTATAGTGATTAACAAGCGTTCTCTTCAAAGTATTTAATTGAGTATGCATATGACTTCATCTATGTTTAGTAGACAACTGTTATCACTAGAGAGTCAATGCTTAATTGTATTTAGAGTTCGATTTATCTATATGAGAATTATTAATTTTCCATGGAAACTAAGTTATACAGTCCCTAAAAGAATTGTTGAGTTTCTGTTGTTCTCTAGGTTACAGCTCCCTCACTGGTTACATACAGGAAATTTCTTATAGCGATCCTACAATACTATAATATTTCTATATGCAGTAATTTAATGATACATGGATATAATATTTTCTTTCAGATAGCTTTGCTAGAAGAATGTGGCTTTCTTGAGCGGGCTCTTGAGGAGTTGCACAAGAAGGAATCCAAAATTGTAAGTTATAGTAAGTCTATTCACCACCATATCAATTTCCTGAATCATATTTCTCAAGCTAAACTTTGGGACTGTTGTTGATATATGCATTGTAGATTGATAAATTATCATACAAGGAACAAGAGGCTTCTCTTCTTGTTAAGCTGGGCCATGCTGAAGAGGGTGAAAAATTGTACAAAGTGCTACTTTCTATGAATCCTGACAATTACAGGTATATGATCATTGATGAAAAACATAGTCTTCTTTTTACTTCTGTGGTTTCCACGTATACTTGAAATTGACTGTAGAATCTTGATGGCTACCAGCAAATGAGAAGAAGATTGCTTTAATTTGAACGCTGCTATATTCTGTAATCATATCACCATGTTTGGTATAAATTCTATCTTGGAGAATCTGAATTATACTGTCCTACTGAATTTAGATGTAATCTGTTTGATGGCTTATGCATGTGTTATTCGTCATACAGGGTGGTTTTTTTCCTACTTGTTCTCCAACCGCCCTAGGTTCTCCCACACCAAAAAACAGAAAAAGAAAAAATTTGGAAAGACTAATAAAAACTGAAAATAAATAATGAAAGCTATGTACCTGTTATTCATAGTGTGCAATGGTCTCGGTGGCATATTATGAGAATTCAAGACCATTTACTGGAGCTGAACAAATTCATAGTGGTTGTAAGGTGAATGAGAAGTCTTGTACTCCTGACCATTTAAAAGAAAACGGAAAAGTTAAAAGGATATTTTTTGGTACTCATTTCAGTTAAATGTTAATTGCAAAAATGGACTGAAAGGTAAACTAAAATTTCCTGTTTAATTTTTAGCTTCTTGCGCTATATGATTGAAAAATCAGACCTTATGGTTTATGCCATTGAGTTCTCTGCTTGTTGATCAAGGTTCGGATGTCAATGATTATATTTGATTTCTCTTACAGATCTTTGATATTTTCTTGTTTTGTTTAGAAAGTGTAGATTATTGCTCTTTTATGTAGTACTTATCATTATTTCTGGATCCAAAGATACTTTAGAAGTTGCAGATCTAAACTTTGGTTCCAACACAGGTCTTCAGAATACTAGCAGAAATCTGCAACATCTTTCACCTTTGGACGTGCATGAGCATGCTTCTACAAGTCTCTATTCTTGTATTCATCTTTTTTTTTTTTTTTGGCCTTAATCTTGGAAGGCGCTTGGGTTGAATTTCATACTGCTTTTAAATAGTTTAAGATTAAACTTTACCAATGAATGAGCAGTTCTTATCATACCTTCTACTCTTTTGTATTTTAGGTACTATGAAGGCCTACAAAGATGTATGGGACTTCATTCAGAAAATTTTCAGTATTCCTCCGATCAAATTGATCAGTTAGAGGCCTTGTATGAATCTCTTAGCAAGCTATATAGTAGGTCATCTGCTGTCAAGGTGGCACATGCTTCTTCCTTCGTCTCTCCCTTTCTGACCCCCCCCCCCCCCCCCCCCCCCCCCCCCCCCCCCCCCCCCCCCCCCCCCCCCCCCCCCCCCCCCCCCCCCCCCCCCCCCCCCCCCCCCCCCCCCCCCCCCCCCAATACAGCTTCCTCTCAAATATCTTAGCATTTGCCTCTAAATCAATACATGTATGATGCTCCTTTCATCAATTGCTTATGTTCTGCGAAGAACTTCATGATATCAAATATCAAAATTCGCAATATGATTTGTTTTGCACCATATCATTTATTAATCTGTAAAACTTTAACTGAAGACATATTTATTTCCTGTGGTTTCTGTATACATAAATATCTGCAAAATTCACAATATGATTTGTCTTGCAAGTTGTCATTTCCTTCTCCAGTCATGTTAATTTCCAAATCTTTAACTGTTTCAACAACCCAGAATGTGTATTAAATTTTATATGGTATGATTTTTCCTGAATTTCTATTTTATTTTTTTCCCATTTGACAGAGAATTCCACTCGATTTTTTAAGCGGTGAAAAGTTCCAGGCTGCAGCAGAGAACTATATTCGACCTCTTCTTACAAAAGTATTCATTTTAGTTTGTTTCTTCTTTTTTAATTGGTTGACCTATTCTTGAGAGCTTCCTCACACTTCTTTTTGTGCATTTAGGGCATTCCTTCTCTGTTTTCTGATCTCTCTCCTCTCTATGATCATCCTGGCAAGGTTAGTTTTTTCTCCTCAATAATAAATTTGACTAATTGCAAGCTCACAACTGTACAAGGAGTGTAATATCCTGGACGGTGTATGTTTGCATTTATGCTATGCATCTCTTGTACAGGCAGACATTTTGGAGAAGTTAATTCTTGAGGTAGAGAACGCCATTAAGACAACAGGTGGATATCCTGAGAGGTGATTCAACTTTTATTATCTGCTCTTGAATCATCAATTCACCTTCAATGGCACTTAGAAGCACAATATTTTAGTATAAGCTGAAATTCAAATTGTTAGTGTTCTCTGATCTTGTTTTCAAATCTTCAATTATGTGAATGACACCGTTTCCATTTGGGGCTGTTCTGTCTCTGCGTCAGTATAGTCGTTTTTTATCCAGATGTAATGAGGATTATAGGAGCTAACTTTGTGAGATTAGTCTATAGAGATATATCTATTTTAAATTTCCATTCACTAGTATTTACACGATTGAATCTGATGGTGCAACAATTAATTCTCCGACTGTTCACCTTATCATAACACTGAATATAAGTTTACACGAACAATCTAGTGAAAATAATCTCAACCATTTACTCATTATGTTAAGAAAATATCATTATAATTTTATCCATTCACTTTAGCCTCATCGTGTATATTTCTATACTTTTAGTGGGCCAATTTGTTTAAAGAAATTTTCTGAAACCATCAAATGAGCTGCCACAGTAATTCAGGATTATGTAACCATCATCTGGGCGGGATATGAAATATGTAGTCAATTTTGTAAAATTATTATTAATTTTTTAAGAGTAATAATTTTAGGTCCTAGAAAATGCGTGGTTAATAAATGGGTAATAGTTGTGAATGTATTGTTTAAATTAACGCGACTTTGATTGAGTATTAAATGTGACTTCTTAGTGACATAATTTTATAAGAGCACAAAAATAAATTAGGAACTTTGCCAGTGTGTTGAAAGTTGCTTCCTGCTGACCACTGTGTGTTTCATTTTGCCTTATATGCAGGGTGGACAAGGAGCCCCCCTCAACACTTATGTGGACTTTGTTTTATTTGGCCCAGGTTTGTCTGATAATGATTTTTTGCAAGCTCTTTGTTGTCTTTTGTTTTTGAGTTTTTCTAAGAAGATTTATCGGTGCAGCATTATGACAGGTGTGGCCAGTATGAAATTGCTATCACAAAAATTGATGAGGCCATAGAACACACTCCAACTGTCATTGATTTGTACTCTGTGAAGGTGCATGTTTTATTTGTCAATGATGCCTCCCATAGTTGATCTCTTTGGTTACTTTTCACGATAGTAATCCACAATTAGTTTTTAGTTTTGCCTTGTTGATCATCTCAATTAGAATTGGATCAACTGATCCAGTTTTGCATTCCCCATATTTCACACAATGTAAAAGGTCTTGCAGCTTTTTGGATTTTTGTTTGTTTGATTCTTTTAACATATCATACTTATCAACGATTATGTTGCTAATTCGTTTAGGACTGTGTCATTGGATGGGATAACCAATGTGAATGTAACATACTACAATTTTGAACAATGAATGAATTTTCAAAACTTTCCTGATGTTATTTTACTGTCTCATACGCAAGCTGAGTTATCTTTTGCATGGAAATGTATATATCCAAATATGTAAAAAAAGATCATAATAATTCATATTTCCTCTAGTTTAATTAATGTTATTATTACTCACTACAGAGCCGGATATTAAAGCATGCTGGTGATGTGTCAGCTGCTGCTGCTTTGGCTGATGAAGCTAGGTGCATGGATCTTGCAGACCGCTACATCAATAGTGATTGTGTTAAACGTATGCTGCAAGCTGACCAGGTTTAGAGCCATTTTCTTCTTCATAAAATGTTGCCTTTAAATGATTCCCTCCTTTTTTTCTTTTTTTTTTTTTGGGAGGTTGAACAATCTAATTTTCCTCTTTGTTGATTATGCTTTCGTTTTTGAGCATCTGGTTCCAGGTTGCATTGGCAGAAAAGACGGCTGTTTTATTCATGAAAGATGGAGAGCAACATAATAACCTTCACGATATGCAGTGCATGTGGTGCGTATCTAAGCTAATGAACATTTTTGTTTAAGAACCTTTTATTGAAACTTTTGTTATGTGAATCCAATGAAGGTATGAACTAGCATCAGGAGAAAGTTATTTCCGCCAAGGGGACCTTGGTAGGGCTTTGAAGAAATTCTTAGCTGTGGAAAAACATTATGCTGATATTACTGAGGACCAATTTGACTTCCATTCCTATTGCTTAAGGAAAATGACTCTCCGCACCTATGTAGAAATGCTGAAATTTCAGGATTGTCTGCATTCATATTCCTATTTCAAGAAAGCAGCTGCTGGAGCAATCAAGTAATGCCTTTTATTTTTGCCTCTGATCTCGCTTGGGATCAGTTTTTATTCCTTGCGACCATCCAGTTTGCTCGTAACAGGTGTTGATATGAATGCTATTCTAGATATTAGTATTTTGTATATTGCGTGAACCCTGTTGAGCGATTAATGGCATGTGGTGTTCTTATCTAATCTTTTGTTCTTATGCTCATTTGAAATTTATATGCAGATGCTACTTGAAGCTGTATGATTCTCCTCCAAAGTCGGATACGGAAGAAGAAGATGAAATGTCAAAGTTGCCACCTTCTCAAAAGAAGAAACTGAGGCAAAAACAAAGGAAAGCAGAGGCCCGGGCCAAGAAAGTAATTAAGCTTGTAGCTTTTCAACAAAAATTTACTCCAAAAAATTTAGACAATAAACTTTGCGTTTTTTAGGAGGCTGAAGTGAAAGAAGAAACAAATGTTACTGCAGTATCAAAATCTGGAAAACGCCCTGTGAAACCAGTAGATCCAGACCCAAGCGGTGAAAAGTTATTAATGGTATTTTGGCCATCTATACATTGGATTCTGTCACATAAATCTTTTAGTTGATAGTCAGACTTTCTTCTTGCTTTCGGATTACTTAAATCCTGTCCTTATTCATATGTTCAATATTCATTTAGCTGAGTGCCTTTTTTGGTATTGTTGATAATCTTTGCTCAAAATTGGAATGATTATGTGAAAATAGCTGAGTGCGTTTTTCACTTGGGAGTATAAATTGTAGGTTGAAGATCCTTTGATGGAAGCTACGAAGTATTTGAAGCTGCTTCAAAAACATTCATCTGAGTCCATTGAAACACATTTACTTTCCTTTGAAGTAAATATGAGAAAGCAGAAAACTTTACTTGCTTTGCAGGTAAGTTTATAATTCTGAGTTCAGAATGAAACTTCTTTTATCCACCTAAATTTTACCTGTTAGTCATCATATACTGATTAATTTAAACAGTATTTGTAGCTAGGAAATTTACTCAAATGATATTTGAAAAAAAATTCAGCAATAATATAAATCTTGAATTGAAGCCTTTTCTGTCATCAATGATACTTTCTCCCATCTCTTTGACCTGCCATGGGGATTATGTCAGCAAATGAATTCATTACACATAATTTCTCCAGTCCCTGGATCGGGTCTGGTAGATGTTAAACTTATTGTCTTGTTATTTCGAGGACATTTATGAATATGCTCTTTCCTAACTGCAGGCTTTAAAGCATCTGTTGCGGTTGGATGCCGAATACCCAGATTCGTATCGCTGTTTGGTATGATTTGATAGTGATCTGGTGCATTCATTCTTAGAAATTTGTGACAGAATTCTTATTACATAAATAATATATTAAATGTGTGTAATGTGTCTGAAATACAATTTCTTTGTCGTCCCTATGCACCTTCATCATTGTTCATCCTAATTGTTAGATTTTTTTCAGATAAAGTTTTTCTCTAAAGTGGGATCCATGCCTGCTCCAGTGAGTGATACTGAGAAGCTCATATGGGGCGTCTTGGAAGCAGAACGACCTACAATTAGGTTCTTTTGATCCATTGGTTTTCATTTTTCTTCCTTTTCTTAGGGGATCAATTTCCTACCCGTTTGAAGTGCATCAATATTTCCGACGTTAGAATATTCTACTGAATACTTCCTTTACTTAATATCCCGTGCTTATTTTTTATTTCAGTCAGTTGCATGGTAAATCTCTCATTGATGCAAACACCTTTTTCCTTGAGAAACACGGAGGTCACCATCTTACTGGTTCATGTTGTATGTCTAGAATTGTCCTGTAGTGGCCAATGATCATATTATTAATATAATTTTGGTTCTCTGTTTTCTTAGCAGATTCGTTGATGCACAGAGCAGCTGTAGCAGAAATGCTATATGTTCTGAAACCAAATAAGAAGGGTGAGGCAATTACCCTGATTGAAGGATCAACCAACAATCTGGTTTCAATGTAATGTCCTCAAAAATTGTTTAAAATATTTACAATAGTGAAGTTTGCACAGTATCTTATAAGACATTGGACATTGAACCTTCCTGTTTTACAAAAACTAGAAATGGAGCTATGGGAGCAGTCAGAAAGTGGAGGCTCAAAGACTGTATTGCTGTCCACAAGCTGTTAGACAGAATTATAAATGACCAAGATGCTGCATCGAGTGAGTCCTCGTTTTCTTTTTCATTTAGTTTTCATTCTCTCTGATTTTTATTCTCTTTGATTTTTCATTCTCTTATTTGTATTTTGATGCTCTAATTGATTTTGAGTTTCTAAAGGAAATTAGAGTGAATTGCCTGCACATATGGAAGTTGTTAATACCTTGACAGATAGATGTACACCATTTACTGTGTAATTAGTCTTTAATCATGCTTCAACTTGCTGATGTTAGATTGCCCACACCCTTTCTCATGTTGATCTTTTGTGCCTCACAATTAGTACCTTTCGCATTTCAATAATATTATTATCTGGGATCTCACTGATGATCTTAAAGTGTGTGTGTGTGGTTTTTTTTTTTTTTTAATAAATAATAAATTCAAGTTCCTCAGCTTTGAAATGAATGAATCTGTACTTGTGGGTGGGGTGTTAACCTTTAATTCAAGAAGGCGTAATTTTCCATACACTGATTGCTTTGGTGCTTTCCTTTTTCCCCGTCAGCTTCTTCATTACAGTAATCTGTTTATCCAATTCATTTACATTTAGGCATAGCTTGCTCCTTCTATGCTAATCTTGAACTGTACTTGTGGAGAACTTAGGTTTCGTTCACTTGTCAGGAATGATGTAAACAAATGGTAAATTGAATGTGTTCATGTAGTAGCTGGTTGTGTTGTGTGTCCTTCAGAAGCTTGAAGCCATAGGCAGGTTAATCGTGCTTACCAAAAGAATGGTCTAGCTAAATTTCTCAGTTTACATGTACCTCTATTTATGGAGAATGAGGAACGTCTTTTATTGGTTTTGGACTAGTAAGATTAAAAATTTACATGCATAGTGCTGAATTGATATGCTTTTATAGGATGGAAGGTGCAGTGTGCTGAGTACTTCCCATATTCAACATACTTTGAGGGCAGCCGCAGCTCTGCTGTCACAAGCTCGACTTTTAACCAAGTTCCAAAATTACCCAAAATTGGTGTTGGATCAGACATCGCCACCTCTGATCAAAATTCTACGTCTCTTTCATCAAATGGAAAAGTCGAGGAACTCATGGCATTCAAGGATCTTCTTGTCCAATAGTGTACATGAATATCCTGGTTAGGTAACAGGTCCAGATGATTCGAGTAACAAATCCTTAATGCTGCTTAGAATGTTTAATTGACAGAAAGGGGAAATTGTCCTTGAAGATGAGTTAAGATATAATTAGAAATGCAGGCAGATCCCTGTGGGAGGCGGCGAACAATTTTCTCTTTCCCCCAGTTCTTGGGCATTCCATTGCGAATGTGTGATTTTCACCGTGTGTTTTTTGGCCGTCACATCCTGTAACTTTTAAGGTTCCTGCCGAGATACTGAAAAGAGGTTCTTTGGGCTTTGCATTGCACTGTTCTGAACAGCATGATCAATGGAAGCTTGAGCGAACTGGTTCTACAACCATTCCCAGGAGAATGTTGTATCTCTTATTTCATTATCTATTATTTCGTGAGGTATAAATGCTATTTTGCCGGAGAAAATTTTGTCCAGATTTATACAAATAAATATGTGGAAGAAATATTTCCTGGTATTTTGCTACTACTCGGTGTCCATTCTTTATTTTTTTTTCCTCCCTTTTCTGCAGAACTATAGTGAATAGTAGTAATGCGAGGAAGGGTGAAAAAAGTTGGCGCGATAAGCGTTTTTCTATTTTTATTATAATTTAAAGGATTATGGATTAGTGAACGAATAAAATATGGGAAAAATCATTTGTACAGATAAATGATTGACATGCTTGTTGACAGATACTCACGTTATCATGGGACCTACGTGAATAATTTTTTTAAAAAAAAAAAGTGGCCCCTCATATTGTGAGTATATGTCAACTAATTCTATCAAACTCTTTTGTACGAATAGCAGGGTTCATAAAATATTCCATGAACTTCATAAAAAAATATAATTCTCTAAATCATATATATTACAAATTAATATTGATTTCTTTTTGTTGAATTTATTCCTTTTGACATTTTAAAGTTTGAACTATCTTCCTTAAAAGCTTAAGCTATGCTAATCAATTTCAAAGGAAATTATGACTAATGTGCAACAAACTAAATCAATAAGGTGTCTTATATTACTTAAAGATCAATGGAACTAACTTATTGTTTTCTTCATTCTAATTCTATTTGAGCAGTTCGTCTTGTGACTAGTGCTTATTTGGGACACTTCAACCTTACTTTTATTCTTTCTTTTCTTTTTGATGGAAAATTGGTTGTGCTTGGTGCCATCTCAAGTGACTCTCAGAGTTAAGGCGAATTCTTTTGCAACATGTTTAATTTCTTGTACGACACAGCAATTTTCTTATGAAAATGATATGTTTCATCGAAACGTGCAAAAGCTGCTCAAGTTGGTACTGGGGGTCCAAGTTTGTAGTTGAACTGTAATATATTTTCTTTCTTTCAAGGACCAACTCTTTAATTGCATACGAATAAGTAAAAATAATAAATTATTGAGGCAATGCCCAGTTTTACAGCTTAAAATTTGATCCTCATACACACCAAGTTTGCCAAATTTTCTTCTAGCTTCTATTTCATTTACGTAACATAATTGAATGATAAACATATAAAAGAGTATACTCAAACTCTTCATGTCACGCGCCGAGTTTTTACGGAAAAAATTTCTAAGCTTTCTACGTGAACAAGATTTCAAAATCAACGTCACGGCTTATGATACTGTGAATTAAGGTTTCTTCTCATAATCTGCCAAATCTCAACATCATTTCCTCTGTCGTATTCTCCCACATATTGTGGAATTTCTGTAAGGTTGATGCGCTTACCCACAAAGCTAGGTGAACTTTTGTTTTTACTATCATCTTCTGCATAATACATTGGGGAAAAGCATCAGAAAAAAATTGTAATGATGAACAGAATTAATTGGGGCCCTGTTACTACAAATGCTTTGAGATTGTTTACCTTCATCGTCTTTAAGATAACTGCGGAAGTGAGAGTAACCATTTGCAACAACATCAAGATCATCGACAGTGAAGTTGTAACGCTTTTCAAGAGCCAAATATAACACCTGAAAAAAAAAAGAAAAAAAAAAAGTCACTTGATACTTTTTCCATTGCTTCAGGATATAGATTCATTTCCTTCCAAGGAAATCCACCTGTTTGGCTAAGCTTGAACTAGTTAGAAGTTACTTCTGAGTACTAAACGTGTTCGAATAAGTTACATATTTCTTACTTTAAGAAACGTTATTAATTTTGAAAGTAACTTTAATCTTTGTGTCGAAGACTCAAAATAAAGGACTTGTTTTCAATTGTGATCAATAAAATGTTCACTTATAGCCAAACATGCTTGTGCTTTACGTGGTGGATTCACTGACCATGGAACTCCCCAGTCTAAAGAGATGAAGTTGCTATAAAAGAAATATTAAGATCAACTATACGCACATGGCCCGTCACTGTCAGATATGAATACAAGTCCATGGTAGGTAGGACAGCCTAATAATCATTATTACGCTGTTATATGATTTCTAGTGCGGCTATAAAAGTTACTTATTGCTGGAAATTCCAATTTTCTGGTCGTACCTTTTCTGGACTTTTGCACATTAGTAACTCTAGTATACTGAAGAACGCATCAGTTAGGTCATCACTGTAAATTACATCAGCAGCGACAAGTATGGTAGCTCTTTGAATCTCTTCAATTTCTGATATGCTCCATCCATACCTGGACACAGTAAGTGACGTTATATATTTCACTTTTGTTGTAGAAACAGTAAACAAAAGAAATGATAAACAAGCTGGAAGCCACATGACAATATGCTGTAAACATAGTCTATGAACATGGTCCAGGCATCAAACCAGTGAGGGGACTGGGTCCATGGTTCATTGGTTCAACCACCGAGTCAACTCAATGAACCTGAGGGTCCCAGAAAATTATAATTGAAATCCATATAATGGATAAAGAAATATCATATAAATTGATATTTAATAAATACTAATTCACTGTATTGCTAAGACATGTATCATGCAAAACCAAAAGTTAACAAAACAAGCCTGGGTAATTGATCGATGTTCCAGATTCAAAACCTCTAGATCTCAAGTTCATACTAATTGATGTAAAACAATTTTCAGGTGACTGGTAGGTCTTAAAATGGGCCTGATCAACCACTTTTCTGTGATGAAAGCAGGCAGGCAAAGGCTGTTTCAATGATTTCAAGTCCAACAGGCTGTTATGGCTGCAAGGAAAAACTACCTTTGCTGCGATGAAAAGTTTTCAAGGACTTGAGGGGGCCATGAAGCATTCCAATCAAGTTCACGTACAAAGACAGACGCCTTGGTGCCGAGTACTCCAGCATTGAGATGAATATTCTCAGAGCAGTTTTGAAGCACTTCGTCACCGTGGTCTGCATTGCAATAAATGACTGGTTGATCAAAAAGTTAATATAATAAAGCACTGAGTATCTAATACATTTTGTATGCTAGAAGACCCTGATATTGGATAAAACTTTTTGTAAATTGGCTGCACTCCCTTGGTGCAGGTCTAATACCATATCAGTTTACTGAAAATAAAAATAAAAATAAGAGTACTATAGTAGGCACATAAAACTTAAGCATGCATGTTCCAACATGCAACAGTCAGCATAATTCAAAGCAGTTGTGTTTCAACTATATCAGGTCTTGGTTGGCTTTAAAAAGTATGGCTAGTCAGATAATTTTGTCAAGGCACTGCAAAAAAGTTACTAGGAATATAATACGATGAAAAGAAATCACTTTGTTTATTTCATAGATTTAATTAATGTCACACCTGTTATGAAGACAGATTTAGCAACACGTGCAAGTAACATGCCAACCAACCCTGGGAAAGACGATGAATCAAAACCTTGTCATTCAAGAACTAATAATATTTAAGATTCATAATCTGGAGAAACCTTGAACATCTCAACAGAAACTTCCACTGGCATTTTGCAAAATGAGTTCCAAAGGTTTCTTCACGAATAAATAACTCCAAACCCTATGAAAACTTGCATATAAGCAGAGAGATTAACCATTTCACTAGATATGAGGACCTTTACCTGTGCCAGCACCAAGTTCTACGGCCACAATTCCATGAAATGCAGATGATTTATGCATCATATGCAACACAAAGTCAGCTAATACCAATTCTGCTCTCCATACCTGAAAAGAGAAAATGGATAAATATAGCACATATAATCATAAACAAAGCAGAAGCTTTATATAAAGCTCATTAAACCAATGACTGTCATGAAGAAGACATGAAACAACAATTACGAGTTTATTCATTAAGCAAAAGGCTGATGCTGATACATCATTTTGTTAAAACACGATAACCTGTTCATTCATTGTGTGTGTGTGTGAGAGAGAGAGAAATGAATTGAAGGGAATGTTTAATGAACTCAAATCAAGAACTACACTTTTGGGACTTTGGTCTTATTACCTGCAAACCAACCCTTGGAATTGATGAAGTGATGTTATGCTGGATGCTGACAACAAAATAATCCTGGGATTTTTCTGCAAATTAGAAAAATGATTATTAAAATTAATCAGTTAGCTTTTCTTTGGCTTGGGAGGGACTATGGAGAGATTGTTAAGAGGTCCTGTGGAAACACAAGAGGCACTTCTATGACAAAATTTGAGGATCCAAATACAGTGTTCACACTAAGGCCAGTCAGGCACCCACCCTCAACACTATCAATTGATACTGATATGAAAATGTCCATCCTATGGTTAGAAACTAAAACATTTGACTCATTGATAGATGACCTAAAATTCTAAACCGAAGAGACTCGCTCACTGATTAATTTATATTTATCTTCAATGTAGTCCATATTTACGAAAACTAACATACTTCAGTGAAACTAATAATACAGATTTTCCAATATTAAAATCCACTGTCAATATTTCACCTACCTACACAGATTGCAACATATTCACTTAATCAAGAAACAAACTTCTTGTTCTAGGATACTACTAAAACTAACAGAAAAATGGCCATAGAGTTCTCTGCCACAACCGAACAGAGAAAGAAACGAGTAAAAACATAATAGAAAAAAGGGCAAACAAACAAAATGACAATGCCTAGTCCTTTTTTCTTCTTCCCTTTATAGTTGAGGATAACTTACTTTTTCGTCGAGCTAGTATAAGATCGCCATCTTCATCCAAGCTACAAACTTTAGCTCCCATTGAATTCCATTCATCTCGGAGGGAGCTCTCAATAGGTTCATTTTCTACATAATTTAAAATCCACAGAATATCCATCAACGATTTAGAAACAAAATTTCCATTAAAAAATACACTTGTGTCATTCAACCCCAAACAAAAATCCTAACGAATTCTTTCTTCTGATTAACATTAGCATTTAGCACGAACATAACAATTAAAGTAGAATAATGATTGACGAAGGTAAAAATCACACGTGGTGGAAGTAAGATAGTGAAGTAGGAGATATGGGGACCAGAGTGGTTTGGGGGACATCCCAGGTGAACATCGCTCATCACTTGCTCCTCCACCGAATTGCCACCGTCAGACGGTGGTGACGGCGTAGCCGGTGACGCTCGCCATCCCTCTTCACATTCCATTGATGCTCCAGTACGAGATTTTGTATAAACCAGAAGTAATTGAAAAGCATATTTGGCTAAGAAAATTTTTTTAAGAATTTTTTTAATATAACTAATTAAAAGAAAAGAATGAGCCACATTTTAAAGTTAAACTGAATTTTGTAATAATGATTTTTGAGAGAAAGTGTTGAAAATTTTTGGGTTTATGTATAAAATATTTTATTGTAGAAATGTAAAATTAAAAATAAATTTGTAGAAAAATAAATTATTTCATAATGGGACTCAAACTAGGGAAGTTCCACGTCGTCACAAGGGTGAAGAGTTGGTGGCAATAAATATAGATGGAAAGAGTCTATAGGGCACCAGAACATATCACACTTGAAAAGTTTCGAGTTGAAAATTAATATGTAAAAAAATTGAACATCTACTTGCTACAAAATGATTCCTTATCAAATTCGAGGCCTTGAGGAGGTTTGCATGATATGAGAAACCAAATCATGTTTCTTTTTTTTCAAGTTTCTATGTTTGGATAAAAAGTAATGGGGAACTTCATTGAATTAATTCAATTAAACTGGATGTACATGACAGCAACTTACAGACCTCCTACAGGGCACTCCTACGGGGCCGGGTTCACGCGAAACCTCATGTAATAAAAAATGGCCAAAAAAAAAAAAAATACTAACCCTCCCATTGAGAAATATCTGTAGAATGCTTGTGAATGCTGAGTTTGTACTCTCAACGTAATCCGAATTAATTTAGGTCACTTAAATTCAAGGGTACTTCGAAGCTTTTGACAATTACATGTGTTTCCCAAGTTAAAAAGTACAAAATTTTCCACTCCTAGCACAAATATCCCATTTTGCCCTTCTTTCTTATACTAATTTTATATTCGTTTTCTTATTTGTATTTTTCATATTAAAAATGTAGGCAAAAATAAATTCTTTTATTAGTTTAAAAAAGTTTATTTTCTATCGTTTATAAATAAAATCATTCATCGGGAAGAAATCGAAATTTTGGTGCAGTGGTTCGTACGATTTTTCATTCAAGATAGCATAGTGAAACATAGAATCTCTTGAAGCCTCTGGCTAAACAAGAAATGATTCTTCTTTGCAGATTTTTTTTAATTTTAATTTTAATTTTCCAGTGATTTGGTATGATTGCCCCCGGAAATTTAAAAATAAAATAAAATAAAATTGATTTCCCATTTGGAAAAATGAACAAGCTAAAGCAATATAATCATATTTTTTACCATTTTTATTTAATTTTATTAAATTATTCTATATTATGTACTCAAAAAAATTTGATTTCCCATTTGGAAAAATGACAAGCTAAATCAAGCAATATAACAATATTTGTACAATTTTTTATTTAATTTTATTGTATTGTTCTAAAACATGCATTTATATTGATATCTTAATTATCTGCCAATCATATTTGCCAAAGAAAAACGTGAAGTTTTATAATTTTTAAATTTTTATCACAATATTTGTTTGATTTTTTTTTTTAACTGAAATTATATCCTCAAAAATGAAAAAGTATATCTGAAGAAAGAAAAAATATACAGTTTAAATATAGTTAAAATCAATTTCAAAATAGTCCAAAGGAAGAAAATAGAAAGTATTATATTTACTTCTTGATGACACGAAGAAATGAATTGCAAAAGGTAAACTTCGTTTCTGCAACTTTTGAAAAGGGAAGAATATTTCTATAAACTAAATTTATTTAATTATTAATATAAGATATTATCAGTCAAAAATATCAATAAATAGTTAGTTACCAGTTTAAAATGAAGCTCAAGTTAGTGACTAACATGGAATTTACAAGTAATATTTTCATGAAATTTGCTGCAAAAATATTATTTCTAAATTTCATGTACCTATCTAATCACTCATTATATTGGGTGCTTGTTAACAAGTATGGTTTGGTTGTGACAAAAGATGTTAGAAAACTTGCAAGCAGTTAGCAATTATGAATTCAAATACAATATGTAATGTAATGGCATTTTCACCCACACAAATTTTGATATAATTCTTTAAATTTCACTCTCTCTTCGTTAACAAACAAGAAAATCGTTGTCCGTCTTTCATATTCTTGTACTTACTTCATTATCAAGTCAATTTTTTGGCATGTCGCCAGTGAATCATTGGGGACAGAAGTTAATTACAGGTGATAGACACGCTTGTTGAACAGCAGTAATGATATATGATATTATCATCACTTTACCGAAAAGTTATAGCTTATGGCATTAATACAACCAATAATCAAGCATGAGAAAACCTCCAACTTTGATATCAAACTGATGTATGATATACAATTACTTCGTTCAAAAGCTATAGCTCATGGCACTAATTCAATCCTTGCTCAACTGGAATCAAAACTCTGGGAATCCACCTCCCAGCCCGTCGGGCCCACTCCCATTTCGAGTATGCTCATGCATTAATTAGCCACATATATGATTCTCAATCAACAAGGTCAAAGTGTAATGTGTGTTTATATATCTATTGGTTAAAAAGATGTTGTGGCTTCTTTACAAGAAGTGTTGGTAGTAGAATACAAATAGTTAGCCAAGACGGCTGTCGATAAGTTAGAAAAATATATATATTTTTTCATCTGCAAGTGTAGCTCAGATCAGAACTCTCCATGTGCAAAAACTGCAATACATCCATTGTAAGGAATTTTTAAACGATCGTGTGGGCTTATATGTGTAAATTGTTGTGTATTAATTAAAGGCTATTAAATTCGGTTGATCCCAATTAAAATAATCTAATAAGGTTTCGATTTTGGGTTTTAATGTATCCAATTAAAGTATGAGTTTATAAAAGTCTAGAGACCAGGCCCAAGTCCCTAATTCCATGATGGCTCAAATTAGGTCAAAGGGCGTCGCTATATAAATACGGTTATGGTCCCCAAATCACACGTACGTATTATTTATTCTCTATTGCATTCCATCGCAGAGAGAAAAAATAAGACTGGGTGTAAATTTGAAAGACAAAACCACGGAAATCATTATTGCATTAACTATGTCTTATTCAGGTACGCTTCCACCATATTTATGTATTTCTTGATGATTTATCATGAAAGATCCAACGATTTAAAGATAATAAATTATTCTACAAGTGGTATCAAAGCATTTTTATGTTGAATCATTGAGAATCGAATAATTTATTTGGTTCTTGCAATATATTTTTGAAGTTTTCAGATTTAACAATTCTAAATCTATATTTTGTTGAATTTGAAAACTTTTGCGGTATAATTTTTTGTTTTTTTCATAATTCGGATTAATAATTGAGAAAAATTCAGATTATGATGTTTTGGTTCTGGATTCAGATTCTTTGGGGATTTAAAAAAAAATAAAAATTAACAAGATCTGGCCGACGGGTGGTGTGCCGTCGGCATCGTAGCGGGCTGCTACGTTTTGTAGCAACGTGCTGCAGCAGCACCGGGCTGCTACTGGTGCGGCGCCGTAGTGGGCCGGCGCGAGAGAGTGAAGAAGAAATAATTTTTTTTTTTTTAGGTTTTCAAATTTTGGTTGATTTGGGGGCTGGGCCCTCACGTGTAAATTGGATAACTTGAGGCCCCTGTTTGCAATTAGGGTTAGGATTATAAAATTAAGGTTGCAGTCCCTAACATTTAAGTTATATTCAAGTTTGGGCCTTTAAGTTTTGGATTTAATAATTCAGTCCCTAAGGTTTAAAAATTAATTAATTCGGGTTATTAAAGTTCTGAATTTTATAATTAAAGCCCTCAAACTTTAATTATTAATTCAAATTGGCCCCCAAAGTTTATAATTAATTCAAATTGACCCCCAAAGTTTCAAATTTTTAAAAATTGATCCTCAAAGTTTTGAATTGGTCAATTTTTGGCCCCTAAAGTTTTAAATTTGTTCTAATTGATCCTCTAAAGTTTTGAATTAATTAATTATGGTCCCTTAAGTTTCAAATTTATTAATTTCAACCCCTAAAGTTTGGAATTAATTAATTTAGCCCCCTTAAAGTTTTTAATTATTAATCCTAAGGCCCCTAAAGATCAAAACTAAATAAAATATGCAAAATTGGTGATTCTCTTTCTCAAATTTTGGTACTAAGGACTATTTTAAGAGATATAATGTTCGAAAGTTGGTTAATTGAAGCAACATATTGTCAAAGCAACATCTCTTGTGAAAATTGACTAACTTAGGATATTAAAATGTGTTTTTGCATGTGTTATTCATGGGAATATTGGTCGACCAAAGGAAGGTCAATATTTAGCCGAATACACGTGTACCTGTGGTGATAAACATGTGACGATTATTTGGTTTAATGTGTGATCAATAAATCGATAAAAAAAAGGTTTATTGATTGACACATTGTTTTTTTGTCAATGTTTGATCACTACGCCAAGAGTACCACTTACAAGTCAATATTTATATCCAAAGACTAGATATTGATGTTGTGCTAGGTATCTTGTGATGGACCCTACCACAATTTGATAATATTATTATTTGCATATTAAAGATATTCATGTGAGCTATTCATAATAATCGTTCTCTAATTCAATTTCAGGTTCTGCTGCTAATATCTCTGCTAGCATCAATTCAATTCCAATGCTAATGGCACAAACTGCAAGACATGGTAGGAGAACGTGATGATTGTTCTCGGAGTCATGGATCTAGACCTTGCTTTACAGGTCGATTAACCTGCTGTACTTACTGAAAAGAGTACCTCTGATGACAAGATGGAGATGAAAAAGTGGGAACGATCGAATCGCATAAACTTAATGGTCATGAAGCATGCTATTCTAGAAGTATTCCGGGGCACTATGTCCGATAAGGTGACTACTACTAAGGGTTTCCTTGAGAATCTTGAGAAGATGTTTGCCAAAAAAGAAATGCCTGAAACAAGTACACTTTTGACAAATCTTGTCTCAATGAGCTATAAAGGGAAAGAAAACATTCAGGAGCACATTATGAAAATGTCTCACATTGCTTCAAAACTAAAGGCACTCAAGTTGGATTTATCTGAAGACTTGTTGGTGCACTTGGTTCTGATATTCCTTGCAGCACATTTCAGTCAATTCAAGGTGAGCCACAACTGTCAAAAGGACTCATGGTCCCTTAATGAACTTATCTCACACTGTGGCCAGGAAGAGAAAAGATTGAAGCATGAGAAAGTGCTCATTTAGCCACAACCTCTAAGGATAAAATGAACAAGAAAATAAAGATTGATAAGGAAGCTGCGGGTACAAATACATGGTGGATAGATTCTGGTGCAACAACTCACATCAGTATGTCTATACAGGGTTGCCTGAGTTGCCGAAAATCAAGTGATGGTGAAAGATACATCTATGTTGACGACGACAAGAAGGTGAAAGTAGAGGCAATAGGAAAATTTAGATTATTGTTAAAGGCTGGATCTTATTTGGATCTTGTTGAGACATTTATTGTACCGTCTTTTAGACGGAATTTGATTTCTATTTCTGTTTTGGACAAATTTGGTTATACTTGTTCATTTGGAAATGAAAAATTTAGTTTCTTTCATGATTCAAAATTAGTTGGTTCTGATTCTTTTTCAGGTTAAGATAATCTTTATTCAATTGATACAATTGCTTCTTTTAATGAATCCTTACATGTAAGTACTCGAAGTGTAAAGTGAAAATTAAACTGCGAGAATTTTGCCTCGTTGTGGCACAAGAGATTAGGGCACATCTCCAAAAGGAGAATTAAGAGACTTGTGTCTGATGGGATTCTTGACCCTCTTGACTTCATAGATTATGATTTGTGTGTCAACTATATAAAGGGAAAAGAAACCAATAAAAGAAGATTTCAAGCCAATAGGACTTCGGACGTCTTAGAACTTATACATACAGACATTTGTGGACCATTCCCTACGGGTTCTTGGAATGATCAACAATATTTTATAACGTTCATAGACGGCTTTTCAAGATATGGCTGCATATATCTCATTCATGAAAAATCACAGTCACTGGATGTGTTCAAAAACTATAAAGCAAAGTGGAGAACCAACTCAGCAAAAGGATTAAAAGCGTCAGATCTTATCGTGGGGACGAATACTATGGCAGATATGACAGTTCAGGTGAACAACATCCAGGACCATTTGCTAAATTTTTAGAGAAACGCGCCATCGTCCTACAGTACACTATGTTATGTTCGCCCACTATGAATGATGTTGCTGAGAGACGAAACAGAACGCTTAAGGACATGGTGAAGAGTATGATTAGTCATTCTACCTTATCAGAATCTCTCTGGGGTGAAGTATTAAAGACCGCAGCTTATATACTCAACAGAATTCCAACTAAGGCCACTGATAAAACCACATATGAGTTTTGGACGGGCAAGAAGCCTAGTTTGAAGCATATACAAATTTGGGAATGTTCAACTGAGGCAAGGCCTTATAAGCCAAATAAAAAGAAATTGGACCCAAGAACCATCAGTTGCTACTTTATTGGATATTCTGAAAGGTCCAGGGGTTACAAGTTTTATGATCCCACAATTAAGGCAATTTTCAAGACAGGAAATGCTTGTTTCTTTAAGGATGTTGAGTTTGTGGGGGGGGGGGAGAAAGGGTTACAGACTTTGTCTTTGAGGATTAATATGTTGAAATCCCTCCAATTGCCATTGACAATGATCAGGTTTCTATCTCTCACATTGTTCAAGAAGCAACTCTGGATCAAGAAAATGTCATATCTCCCTCTCAAGATTAACAAATTGTTTCAGAAGAACAAACTGTACAGCCTCAAGAACCAATGCCATTAAGAAGATCCACTAGAGAGAGGAGAAGTGCGGTTTCGGACGATTACATCGTATTTCTCCAAGAACATGAAGTTGACATTGGAATGGTGGAAGATGATTCGATCAACTTCAGTCAAGCCATGGAAAGTTCTAACTCTCAAAACTGGCTCGATGCCATGAATGAAGAAATAAAGTCCATGAAGGACAATGATGTAAAAGACCTCGTTCCATTGCCTGAAGGTGCGAAACTCATTGGTTGCAAATGGATATTTAAGACCAAGAGGGATTCGAAAGGTGATGTAGAGAGCTATAAGGCTCGTCTTGTCGCAAAGGGCTTTACACAGAAAGAAGGCATCGATTGTAAAAAGTCTTTCTCTCCAGTTTCTTCGAAAGACTCTTTCAGGACTATAATGACATTGGTAGCGCATTTCGATCTTGAGCTACATCAAATGGATATTAAGACAGCGTTTCTCAATGGTGACATTGATGAAACAATTTATATGGTACAACTAAAAAACTTTGTATCGGATGATGTAAAGCAAATGATTTGTAAATTAAAGAAATTTATCTATAGACTCAAACAGGCGTCTTGTTAATGGTATTACAAGTTTCATCAAGTGATCATCTCATTTGGGTTTGAGATGAATTTGTTTGATGATTGTAAATACCACAAGTTTAGTGGGATCATGTATATTTTTTTGGTTTTATATGTCGATGACATACTGCTTGCCAGCAACGATATAGGCTTATTGCACGAAATCAAGAGATTTCTAGCAAAGAATTTTGAGATGAAAGATCTCGATGACGCCTCTTTTGTATTGAAAATTCAGATACACCGAGATCGTTCTCGGGGTATTTTTAGATTATCACAAAAGAGTTATATCGAAAAGGTACTTAAAAGATATGGCATGCAATATTGTAAACCAGGTAACACCCCAGTGGTTAAAGGAGACAAGTTCAGTTTAAGTCAGTGCCCTAAAAATGACTTGAAAATTAAAGAAATACAGAAGATTCCTTATTCCTCAGCTATAGGGAGTCTGATGTATGCTCAAGTTTGTACGCATTCGGATATAGCATCCATTGTTGGGATGTTAGAAGATATTTAAGTAACTCGGGAATGGATCATTGGAAAGCAGCTAAATGGGTCATGTGGTATTTATAGAGAACAAAGGAACAGGAGATCGGATCAGTTGAAAATCGTCGATTATTCTGATTTCGATTTCGCGGGATGCCAAGATAGTAGGAGATCCACTTCAGGCTATATTTACCTGCTTGCTGGAGGTGCTATTTCTTGGAAGAGTGCTAGCAGACACTCATAGCTACCACCACCATGGCAACGAAATATGGTTGCGTAATTTTTTCACTGAGCTGCGCATTGTGGACAATATAGAAAGATCGCTCAAGATATTTTGTGACAATAAATCAGCAGTACTATATTCCAATAACAACAGGAGCTTGACGAAGTCAAAACATATAGAGATCAAGTTCCTGACTGTTAAAGAAAGAGTTCAAAGTGGACAGGTGTCAACAGAGCACATTGGGACAAACTCTATGGTTGTGAATCCACTTACTAAAGGATTGATACCCAAGGTCTCTCATGAGTATACTGCTCATATGGGTGTAATGTCCCTTGAAGATATCTAGTTTCAGTAGGAGTTTGTATTTTGCTTTGGACACATATACTGTCATTTTGAATACGATTTAAGGTTAAAGTTATTTTCGGTTACAAAATTATTTGGTTTATTATCTCTGAACTTATTTAAAATAATCTCACTAATATATTAAGGTGGACCAGTTGAAAATAGGCATGTTACAGATTACATCACATGTAATTTCCATGCTGCACATCCATGCTTAATCCATGTCATTCGGTTATATCGATATATGTGACCATTGCTGAGTTTAGCTACATGATAGTAACCTCTTTTTATCTTGGGCCAATCTGCAGTACAAAATGCACTAATCATATAGGGTCATGCATTATGCTTGTGTCAAGGAGAAACCATTGGAGGTGGTTATTTATAGTTTTATTTTCTTTTGTGGTATAGAGGGGGTATTGGCATGCTCAATTAAAAAAGAAAACAATTATATCTCTTACTGTTCATCTTCCTTCTCTGATTATTCATTTTGAGAGTTTTCCTTGTGTGCCGGTACAATTTCTGAAATGTTCCTTGTGTTAAAAAAAATATTAAAATTTTGTTTTGATGCAGCAAGGAAGTGGAGGATATGGCTTACATTGGGAGGGACAATATTACTAGCATTTAGCATCTTTTGCTATTTCTCAGAGTAAGAGGTAAGAGCTTAAACCAAGTCAGAAATTGGATTCTGATCATGTTTTCAATATTTATTTTTCCAAATCTTATGTTTTCGATCTTTCTACAAGGTATAAACAGAGCCAAGCGAACACTCATACATGAGCTGGAAGATACTATAACCCCACCAGGAAAACACATCCAGCCCAATGATAAAACGCATAAGAAGATGAGCCAAGTGAACTTTTTCGGCTTTGAGAGCATTGCCATGGCTACAAACAATTTCTCCGCTTCAAATAAGCATGGAGAGGGGTCTTTGGACCAATTATAAGGTAAGTTTTATCACTGCAAAAGCTCTTAAGGCATCCTAAATTTAGATGTCTATCCCAAACTCCAACACACTAATCTAGTTAGGCTTTTAGGTTGCTGCATTGAACAGAACGAAAATATTTTAATATACGAATACACGCCTAACAAAAGTTTAGATTGTTTCCTCTCCAGTATGTATTTTAAATCTTTTGACTCCATCCAATTTTATTTTGTCAAAAGCTACTTTTATAGATAGCATACTCCATGTTTCGTGAACAGATCCTGACAAAAGAGAATTACTAAGTTGGACAACGCATGAATGTTATAAAAGGAGCGACTCAAAGACTAGTGTATCTCCACGAATATTCAAGGTTGAAGGTGATACATCACATTTGAAAGCCTACAACATCTTGCTTGATCACAACTTGAATCCAAAAATATCAGATTTTGGATTGGCAATAATATTTGGGTACAACAATCTGAAGCAGAAACCAATAAAATCGTCGGAACATAGTAAGTTAACAATATTGGTCAATAACCAAGCAAATGTTAAACAATTCACAGGTATCACCGGAAGTATATTTGTTTATCACATCGATGGCTACATGTCTCCTAAGTATGTAATATAAGGCATAGTTTCAATGAAGATCGACATTTTTTTGGAATTTTAGTCCGAGTGGCGAGAAAAATTATAGCAGTTGTCCCTCAGAACGCCAGCTAAATCTTATATCCCATGTGAGCCCCAATTTAAAATACCCTAGCATTACTTTGTATTTTTCTTTTATAAATTAAGAGTTTCCTGATTTGAAAATATTTATATAATATTTTTCGTTAAAACTTACCTTCTCAGGCATGGGAACTTTGGAAAGAAGGAAGAGTTGTAGAACTAATGGATTCGAGACTGGATAATCCAAGCCCAAAGGAAGAAATCATGAGACGTATCTGTAAGTATTATGCCCTAGGTCCAATCAACTTTGGACATAAATACTTTTATATATATAATTAATGCAATTAAATGGCAGATCTATTATTTAATTAATAGACAATTAAAAAATAATAGAGTCCGTAGATTCAAATCTTTGTAATTTGTTAATTACAAGGAGTTGTGATTGTGAGATACAAATTACATCTGATTGAATCTTAAATCATCCGTGGTCGTAAGTAATAACGAGATACGGATATCGTTATTACGGATAGACCATCACGTGTGGCATTTCTTACTTGTGAAGTAAGTAGCTGATCTCACAAACTAAAGTGTGGAGACACTTAAATAAACACGTGGATGTTTTGTTATAGAACAAAATATTGGAGACCCGTCGAGAGATTCCACGTGGATAACTATTTGAGTGTCAGTGGTTAATATCTAACGTTACTTTAGCGGTGTTGGATGTTGCTCTGAAAATGGCCACTAATACAACATCATTCGGGTACGTCATCATATGAAGGTTGTGATTGATCAATAAAGGATTCGTCACTCTTAGATAGTAAGAGATTATGATCTGCGTTTCATTCAATTAAGTCGATAACGAAATCCTTGACCAAGGTGTAGTCATAAGTCGAAAATGAGTTTTTGACTTATATTGATTTAATAGTGGAGTGAAATATATGATCGATGATCGAGATTGACACAATTTCATATCTCGTAATTGATCGGATCATATTGACGAAGGGATTATAGTTTCACGGTAAACGAACGAATTTGGTTTTGTCATACCACGTGATATTTTCCGTCACATGTATTGCCCTGACACATTGCTAGATGTCAATCAGGGACGACGAGTGTGAATTGACGATAAATTAAAAGGGTGTTTTAATTTATCAATTTTGATTATTTCACGTCGTTAAGCATCGTGGTAGGGAACATAATGGGTTGCACACAAAAGATAATTGGAAGATTGCAAATTGCCAATTGGTTAATTTAACAATCATTGGATAAATTAATTAATTGAATTTGTTATTTATATTCCCGAATTAATTAATTGGATTGATTAATTCACGAACCGAGTTTAATTAATTGGATTAATTAAATATTGGACCGGACCGAGTCGAGCCCGTTTGGGTTTATAAATATATAGTTAGGGTTTGAGGTCCATATGATTTTCATTATTCTTGCTGGCACAAGAGAAAACCCTAGAAGCTGCAATCTTATTTTCTGTGTGGATCACCGTTGAAGGTTGGACAATTGGACAGCTGTGGTGGCGAATCAAGGTTGATGGAACTAAAAGAAAAACAAAAGGATTGTAGAATTCTTTTAAGGTACAATCTTTATCACAATTTCTATCTAAACACAAAGGCGATTTTTGGTGGGAATCGAAAATTATTTTAAATTCCGCTGTGCATGTATAAGTAGATACCCAACAGTGGTATCAGAGCATCTTTTGTGTTTGTTAGAAGTTGATTTATGCGATTGAACAGTCAAACGTTGATTGTGATTATTTTTCTCGTTTCTAGCAATTAATATCTCTCAAGTTTTGTATTGGAATTTGAAAATAAAAAAAAATTAATTAAACGTGAAAATTGACAACTGTCACCGGCGGGCGTCGCAGCGGCGTCTACTGCCTACACAACAGCGTGAAAACGCTGCTGTAGCGGCAGGACACGCTGCTCAGGCGGCTCTTGCCGCGAGGCATTAAAGTGGCGCTGGCAACAACAAAAAAAAAATCATCATTTTTAGGGTTTTCAGAAAACCGGGTGACAGATTTGGAGGCGGGGGCCTCAGTTGCAATTTTTGAAATTGCATGCCTCCGCTTGCAATATTATGAAAGTGATCAAGTTGTAATTCTGAAGAAGGACTGCTGTGCAATTTTGTAATCTCGACGGCCTTGTTGATAATTTGCCAAGGGGTCAGTTTGCAATATTTTAAAAGGGGACTTGTTCTGCAATTTTAAATTTTGGAAGGGTCCGATGTTAATTTCAAACTTGGGTCAATTTGCATGTTTTCAAAATGGTTTTGAATTTCAATTTTGAAATGGTTTTAAAATTAATTTTAATTGGGTTCGACCCATAATTTTGATTTTGACCCAAATTAAAATTTTATTTAAAATTGATGACATTTTTATATTTTTGTTAAAATTGGATTTTGACTTAAAAATTTAAACTTTGACCCTAAATTGAATTCTATTTTATTTAGGAGTTTTATCCTAAATTAAAATCTTAATTCAATTTAAGTTAGAATTGGATTCTAATTTAGCGTTTAATTAAAATTTGATTTTAAATAAATTATTCACCCAAAGATATTTTAGATATTAGAATTAGATTCTAATTTGACGTTTAATTAAAAATTTGATTTTAATTAAATTGCCTCGCCCTAAATTTCTTCTTGAAATTAGAGTTGGACTCTAATTTGGTATTTAATTAAAATTTTGATTTTAATTAAATTAATTCGCCCTTAATTATTGGAATTAGAGTTAAGACTCTAATTTTGTTATTTAATTAAAATTTGATTTTAATTAAACTCCACCGCCTTAAAATTGTGAAATTAGAGTTTGACTCTAATTTGATTTTTAATTAAAATTTGATTTTAATTGGATAATCCCGCTATATAATTGTTGAATTAGAGTTGGACTTTAATTCGGTATTTAATTAAAATTTGATTTTAATTAAACATGTTCGCTTATTAAATAATCGATTAATATGATTAATTGATTATTTAATTATTCCGATCCATTTGTCTAAAAGAGTTTAGACGACTTAATTGCTAGAAACTTGAAACTTATTTGCATATAATATTAGATATTATATAGGTATACATTTATGTGATGAATGTATTATTAGTGGACGATTATGGACTCGATCATATAGATGTGTTGAATGATTAATTTTTATATTTGTCGTTTTATGGGTCTGCGAGCTTTTAATTGTTTTGGGCCTGCGAGCCCGTTATTATTGTTATTATTTTGGACCTGCGAGTCCATTATTATTATTGTTACTATAGACCTGCGAGTCCAATTTCATTTAAGCCTGCGTGCCAACTAGTATATGATACATGTTGGAATTGGACTAATTGATGAGACAAGAAGAGGTGGAGACCATGGAGATGGTGCATTGACACTGTTCAATGCTATACCCCCTAAAAATTGATCAACTAGTCTTCCTTATGGCTCGGGGAGACTAGATAGTAAAAGTTCATTATCGTCTACACTATTATATTATGTTATATATATATTTATTTGCATAGTAGATGTATAATAATAATATATATATATGATTGTATTGTTGTTGATGAGACTCATGAATGCAAAATCCCTCTATAAAATATTAAGTCACATTTGTAATCGCCATCCATCATTATAGTGAAAAATCAGAGTCCCAAATCATCTCAGCTTGTTGAGTACACTCAAGGCTGGTCCATTAGGGATATGTTTGACACTATGAAATATTTGATATTTTTGAATGATAGGTTTGACTTAACTAAAATTTATCTTTTGTTGAGTACATTCAAGGAGATAAATTTTAGATGTTTGTTAAGCTAATACATAAGATGTGTGAAAATAAAGAGTTGTCAGTGTTCATGAAATAATTCGTTCGATTTAAAACTACCGTAAGTGTACGGTTCGTAGCAAGTAATAAAGTGAATTTTAAAAGTCCGAATATCGTCCCTCAGAGATTGAGTAGTTCAATTCTATATAATCTAGTCTTAACCGAATCTAATTGAATGGAAATATGGTCTCAATGCAAAAAGCCCTAATTTCAATTAAAAACCATAATTTTAATTAAAAACCCTAATTTCTATTGAAAACCCTAATTTCTCAATTAGAAACCCTAATTTCGAAATTTCTCTAATTCAATGATTCAAACACTCAAGTAAATGAAATTAAGCAAGTTTAAAAGCTTTTATTAAAATGAATCAAATTAAAGTCACTAGGATCACGAATTCCTAATTGAAGTTATAAAAACCCTAATTTCATAAAATTAATGATTCATGAAAATTTGCCAATTCAATGTTCCTAATTCTATCCATTATACTCTCTCGATATATATTAGACCATTCTTGCACACCACCAACATATATCTCTATGGATGATGCAAACATACAAGAATGCATGTAGTTTTGTGAACAATTTAAGAATTACATAAAGCATAGGGGTATATCTCTATCCCCTATCGGACCCTATGTTAATTTACACCTTATCGAACCTATTCCACTTCTCTCGAATGTAAGAAACAAGTCATCAATACTCACACAATCATTGGCCACTAATTGCGGAAGAAAATTAATGCATGTAAATCAATCAAATTATCCAACGAATCTTTATATCAAGTTCATGAAATATAGAATTAAAATAACAAACAACGGTTCATCGATCATCTAGTAATTAAAACCCTAGCCTAGAAGATTCATAATTACAGAAAACGAAACGAAATTAATGAATAGAAGGAAGAACACCCGTATGAAAGTTCTTGAAATCTGAAATCTTGAATAAAACCTTGAAAACCCCTTTGAATCCTTGTGAAATCGGCTTCAAGTTCGTGTTCCTTGCCTCCAAAAGTTGTATTCTTCTTCTCCCTGGACGTTCTGCCCTATTTCTGATGAATTTTGGCTTTTATATTATCTCTTTTCGGAGCCCCGAAAGAGTTTCAATTAAAAACGGGAAGTCAGATTTTTTTCCTAAAATAAGGCCATGTGGCCGCATGGTGTTAAACCATGCGACTGCATGGTTCAATTTTTCAACTCATTTGAAACCCTGCCAGACCCTGTGCGGCCACAAGGAATTAACCATGCGGCCGCATGGTTATAAAATTTTTCCTTCGGACAACTTTCAGTATTTTGGTCATAACTTTCTCTCCCGATCTCCGATTGAAGTGATTCAAAGTGCATTGGGAAGAAAACTCAAAGATGTACACTTTTGGTAGAAATAGAATTCCTCAAATTCTGATGTTTACTATACCAAAAATGGATCTCAAGTAAAGACTCAAAATCACGAGCATAACTTTTTCGCCTGAAATTTGATACTTGATAATATTTCGACCATATTTCACCTCTTGACTCCTTTCCTCATCAGATTGACCTTTAACACTCTTGAATTTTCATTCCATTTCCCGTCTCATCTATGGATTATTCGCAACTTGGTCCTCGAACTATCGCTTTGTTCCGTTTTGGTCCTTTTTCGGCTCTTTTTTTTCTGAATTTCATCTTTTCCATAGAAACACCTACATAGCATGAATTTAACAAGATTAAGTCATAATTCAACTACTTT